TCTCACAACCTTGAGGTTTTTTTTTCACTTTTTTATAGACAGTGTTTAGAGTTCTGTTAATGAAGGCCGTTTCTGATTGAATAGTGGAGAGATCGACGCAGAGATGGATGTTTCTACATTGCTGAAATGTCTACAATTTCGTGATTACCACAACTTTTTCTCCAGTCAGTATAGTATATTGAGAGGACAAGCCATACTGACTCGGGCTTATTCATTCGTATAGTCATCACTCATTAGAGCCTCCAGGCTGTACAAACATTAAATGGGTTCTGCGGTGACTCATTCTTCAGGTTTTTTGATTTTTACAGCACTAGGCAAATTCGCTTTCCCATGCACTTCGTTTAAGCCCCTCTGCAGGGTATGATCAGGGACTGCAGTTCCTGTCAACTTTCACCTACTGATGCTGGCTTCTGATCAAGAGTAGGAAGAGAATTCAACTGTCGATCGGCTTCTTCCCAAGAAAGTGACCAGTAGTTGATTTCCATTGGCTGACGTGAGGTCTACAGAATAGATTCGAGTCATTCTGGGTACTCTATCTCGATTTCTTTCCATTACAGTACGGAACTATCTTTCTGGTCACTACAGGTTGACTTCCTCCTGAGCAGTTTTACCCACTCAACCCGATGGTCCTTCTGGAATATCTGGCCACGAGAGAAGCCAACAAATGTTTATCGATCGTTGTCACAGAAGAACATGGTTAACTATAAAGACAAACAGCAAAGCGAGGCAGCAAAAGCAGTTTATAAATAGATGACTCAGAACACATATTAGGAGATTCGGGGGTAGCTTTGGAATAGGCAGAACGCCTCAATTGTTTTCTGAATTGTAGTACTCGGGGTGAATCGAGCATAAGTTCTTAATACTCATCGCCTTCTTCACCATTGTCTTCGAGGGAGTCGACGCCAACCTGAAACAGTACTGGTACTTCTATAGGTCCTTCTCATCCGAAGCCTTATGACTGACCTCTTCATAGTCTTTTTCCAAAGCTGCTAGATCTTCACGTGCTTCCGAAAACTCTCCTTCTTCCATACCTTCACCTACGTACCTAGAAATTAAGTAGTTTTGATACGGATCGAAAATCAGCTACGAAGTCAGCAGAACGTAGGTGATTCGACTTTGGAGCAATATTCAAGTGATTCGGAATTTTCAAAGGAAAGAGAATTTTGCAGGCATACGTAACCAGGTAGTTACTATTGGAATCTCTCTGTTTGGGCACTTCAACACTGATGGGAACAGAACGGCAGTAAATAGTACTGAACCGTTCCAGTCCTACTCCCTATTTCCGAACTTAAGCTTTGTCAAACATTGATTCGGCTTTCGAAGCTTCAGTCGAAGTCTTCGATCGATTATCGATTACTGGACACACATAGAGCTGCCACTTACCAATGCACGAATGCCCTTTTGGCATACATTAAATCGAATTTGTGATCGAGTCTAGCCCAAGCTTCGGCGATGGCCGTCGTGTTTGACAGCATGCAGACAGCACGTGGTACCTTGGCAAGATCGCCACCTGGCACAACCGTCGGTGGTTGATAATTGATTCCGACCTAAATGATGACGACCACCATCGATACATACAAATGAATGGTTCTAAACATCTGCTCCTAGCACGACATATAGCAAAAACAGGAAGGGATTTTCAAATAGATCTGCACTAATCCGTTACAATGGGATGCTGTGGAAGATTTCCAAGCTTATCAGGGAAGGGGCTGTTATATACGTTATTCCGGATTTTTCTTTCGAATTTTTATTTTAACAACAAAATTAGGGAGAATCGAACATGTAGAAGGTCGAAGTTGCACATTTCTATGGTATCTTATGTGAACGGTCTTTTTTCAAATGGAGCCAGTCTGGGAAAGACAACTTCAAGCATGTGCTTTACCACTCTTGACCCTTACGGTTCATCTTCCCGGTATTGTTTTCCGCATTCCGAAAAAAATCTGGTACCGGTGGATTGACAATGAAAGTTGACGCTCGACATGATCATTAAAAGGAGAAGCTAAGGCCCTTAACGATGAAGGAAATTGGACTTCTCCTAGTAAAACAGCGATACTCCTGAAACAGTAGAGCTGTTACGCGCTTCCTAATCCTTATATGACCTTGCAATTGAAATCCCTTTCTAATCTTAAGGTTTTCTAAAGAAGAACAAAACTTATCCGGTACCTTGAAACCAGTGGGACACCAGTCGACGAATTGAATCGAGCGTTTCGTCTTGATAGTGGCAATGGCAGCGTTAACATCTTTTGGTACCACGTCACCACGGAACAATAGGCATACGGCCATATATTTCCCATGTCGTGGATCGCATTTTACCATCTGATTATGCGGTTCAAAACACCTGAATATTTATGACTTTTATTCATTCGATCAATTGAAGCGGTCTACGTCATCCCTTTTTGGAAAAGTTTCAATTCCTCTACGGGATTTTCTGAAGGGATGCATTATGGCCACGGAATGTCCCCCCTTTCACTTTTCTCCCCTGAAGTTGAGCTTTTTTCAGCTGGCATAAAGTTAGCTAAGATCCTCGTAGAAGGCTACCGCGTAAAGACATATATTACAAAGAAATGGTCAACAGGTATTGAAAAAAGAGGAGAATGGCTGTCGGCTTTCTTTTGTCCCAAGTTATGTGCAGGTGAGGAAAGATCTATAGCTCTGACACAGCCTGGCATAAACGATCACCATGGGTCTAATGAAG